TTTAGTTCTGACCAGGTATGGTTGTATTTACTGTAAATAAAGGTTGGTTCTGAGGAGGTACCGACATAAAGTTTATTGAGAAAATTTTGTTCTGACCAGGTATGGTTGTTTTTACTGTAAATAAAGGTTGGTTCTGAGGAGGTACCGACATAAAGCTTAGTTATAAAATTTGGTTCTGACAAGGGTTTGTTGTTTTTATTTAAATAACGGTTTGTTCTTAGGAGGTACCGATATAAAATTTACTTAAAAAATTTGTTTCTGACAAGGTATGGTTGTTTTTACTGTAAATAAAGGTTGGTTCTGAGGAGGTACCGACATAAAGCTTAGTTATAAAATTTGGTTCTGACAAGGTACTTATGTTTTTACTGTAAATTTAGGTTGGTTCTGAGGAGGTACCGACATAAAGTTTATTTATAAAAATTAGTTCTGACCAGGTATTGTTGTTTTTACTGTAAATAAAGGTTGGTTCTGATGAGGTACCGACATAAAGCTTAGTTATTAAATTTGGTTCTAACAAGGTATTGTTGTTTTACTGAAAATAACGGTTGGTTCTGGGGAGGTACCGACATACAATCTACTTTAAAAAATTTAGTTCTGACCAGGTATGGTGGTTTTTACTGTAAATAAAGATTGGTTCTGAGGAGGTACCAACATAATGTTTATTTATACAATTTAGTTCTGACCTGGTATTGTTGTTTTTACTGTAAATAACGGTTGGTTCTGAGGAGGGATCGACATAAAATTTACTTACAAAATTTGTTGATCCTCCCTCAGCCTGAATCCCGATTCCCTCACCCTGGATCCCCGTTCCCTCACTCCGAAATATTCCGGACACTCCGGAGTCGACGTGGATCCCGGTTCCCTCACTCCGGAATATTCCGGAGTCGGAGTGAATCCCGATTCCCTCACTCCGGAATATTCCGGACCACTCCGGAATATTCCGGAGTCGACCTAAATCCCGGTTCCCTCACTCCGGAATATTCCGGAGTCACCTTGGATCCGGACTCCGACCACTCCGGAATATTGCGGAGTCACTTACCATGTCCATAATTAAAATTTCCGTCCACTCCGGAATATTCCGGAGTACCTGTTTATGACCCTTTTATGTTACATAAGAACGTTGAAATCAAAATGAAGGACGAAATTTCTTTAAATCACTGAATGAAGTCACAAATTTCTAGATATTAAATATGCATCCAATACCCAGGATTAATGAGAGGAGGTTTGTTCGTGCGTGACTTATATATGAAGTAGCTACATGAAATGAGAAGAATTTGAAGGAACAATTCAAGTCAAAAATTGTTAAAAAAAGAAAAAGAAAAAGAAAAAAAAAGAAGAGATAGATGACTATTTGACTTGCCGTGCATTTAATATACTGTTTAGTTTGGAATGCAAATTCGAGTACCCTTTCTGGAATTGGTATACTTCAAATGCCTTTAACATGTTGCTGCTTTTTATAGGAAGCTCTTCTTTCGCTTTATATTTCACTTTCAATAAAAATATTTTCTGTTTTCATGGAAATATAGGGTACTTTAGAAATGAAACTTGAAACATCAGCTTGATCTTAAACGACGCTTGAGATCAAAATTTACATTTTGTCCGGGGTGTTGTTTTCGATAATATCTTTTAAAAATGATATATGTATACTCACTGTGAAGCATCACCGCCAGATAAAGGTACCCCCAAAGTGGTGAAAAGCAAAATAATATCTACCCACCGTACAGTAAAAAGCCATTCGACGTTCAATTTATCCGCTTTATTTACATGAATTTCTCCGTGAAAACAAAAGTTTATTTCGAAATACAGTGTTGTTCTGTTCGTTAAATATGATATAACTTTGTTCTACTAAAACGTAAAATAAATAGTTGAAGGATAAATGTGGTTGTAAGAAGGTTGAACTCGTCACATACTTCTTTGAACAGGCACCACCCTGTCCGATTCTAACGATTTCAGCCTTAAATAGTAGCTACATAATCGGGAATCAGTATAACAAAACTTTGAATGTCAGCAAAAGATAGAATATAATGAAAATAAGAATAATTTGACCTTACATGACTTAACAATCGGGGGTACCTATATTCAGTGGTGAAGCTTCACAGTTTCACTTGTTAGCTTTAAATCGCAAAATACTTCTAATACCGGTTTTGCTTTAAAAAATTTAATGGCTGTCTTTCGAATGTAGCAGAGAAGCGAAAGATACCAAAGGGACATTCAAACTCATAAGTCGAAAATAAATTAACAACACCATGGATAATTTTTATCGTTATAACGCTAACTTTTGCGATATAGCACAAACCTGTACAAGATCACGCAAAACTTTGCGATTTAACACAAGCCTTTGCGAGATAACGCAAACTTTTGAGTTATAAAGTTAACCTTTGCGAGATAATACAACCTATATTTTGCAAACATAGGGAAAAATAAAAAAAGTGTGTGGCGCTGAAACTCTTTCGTAGACAATCCTGTATAAAAAGTGTTTCTAACTTTTTAATTGTCCACGTCTTATATTGTTTGAAGAAGAACAAACACGTAGTTGTATAACATTTGAAAAACCCGTCACCGAAACTTTTCAGGAAAGTGCTTCTTATATTTAAAAGGTAATTCTAAAAACATCATCCCGAAATAGTAAGGTACTTTTTATAGAAAGTAATTTTTGATTGTGTATGCTTCATTAACATCAGATGGTTATTAATATGTCTTAGTATCTATAGTTACAATGCTTTAATGGGAATCAATTTTAAAAAATATAAACCTTATTTTTGTAAATGTTTATGTTTGCAACTTAAAATATATTTCTAATATTATCTTTGGGAACTTGTATTATTTGCAAAGATTCAGATTTCAAAGATTTTTAAAGTCTCACCTCGTGTTATACATATAATACACAATTATTATAATACATACATTGTTTAAAACAGAATTTGATAAGTTTAAATACAAATGTTATTCTATAAAGAATTATGAGAGACTGTAGAAATTTAATTCAATTAAAACTATATATTTATCATGTCTATAAAGCATTTCAATTCTATAACATTACTTTCAGTCAAGCATATAAAAAACTATTTCTTTTACTTAGAATATTAAAACAGATCTTGGCAACCATATCATAACGCTCGGTATTTTTATTATATCAAAATTCCGTCTTTGAAATTCATAGTTTTACCATAACAACTAGTTGCTATAGCAAAATTGTGAATTGACAAAGATAAAATTTAAATATTATACTTTTAAAAAGATACATAAACTTATCATCAATTGATAAAATAAAAAAATCAGCATAACTTCTTTTAGTTTCATAAAAATAAATGTTTACGTCAATTTGCATACAAAGGGCAATCTTATAATTTATATAAAACATGATTCTCATCTTCAATCTAATCTATACATATAGAGCAATATTTCCATTTACACTTTTGTTTCATAAAGACCTGTTTATGATCGTCAAGGAGCGACACAACACAAAAAGTTAGCAAATGCACTTCTGTTTCAACTTCAAATGTTCTTACTCACCCAAAAACATCTCTGTTTCAAAACATCTTTAAACAATTTATAAGTTCGTAATTTTTTTCCCACATTTTGTGACAATATTTTATTGCCAATTTATTTTATACTTAACAAATAAAATATCTTCTAACTGTGTTATAACATTTTAATGCAAAATGTTATCCGAAAATCAGCATATATTCTAAATTTTGTCATAAGTCTTTTACAGCAGTTTTTCATTATTTTGATAGCATATCTTAAAGCCCATTCTTCTTCATATTTTTCTGTGGCATGATTGTAAAGAAAATAAGATTGTGAAGTGACTTTACCATTGACTTGTATTTGTCTTATAATTTCAAAATAATTAACTGATTAATTATGACTTTTTGTTTTTGACTTTTTTACCTTTCATCTTTGTGACTTTCTATCTGACCTATCACTGTCTTTCCCGCCGCTTTACGTTTGCTCGAGAGCAATTTCCACGTTTGTGCGAGCAATTTTCCACTTTTGCGCGACACAATGCCAAAACGCGTTTGTGCGAAATTTACGTGTTGAAAAGTTGCTACGATAGCGCGTATAATTAGAATTTTAAAAAAGTAACTAAAAATTCGTCAATTGAAATTGAAAATGTTAAGTGTGCTTGTCAGTTCTTTCAGCAAGGCTGGGCAGAGAAAGTTGATAGCAGTTGCGCAAAATGAAAGCCGAAAAAACAATTTACCAACTGCTAAATTGAAAATTTCGTCACCAGTGCGTCTATAACAAGAATATGGACGACTGTCCATAATGAAAGCACAAAACGTACCGTTTTATTTTTGAATATGGTTTATAAAACTTAGAATGTTCTTTTCGCATTGTATTTAATTTAAAACTGTTCCTTAAAATGTTTAGGGGACAACCCTTTTTATATTGGGGGGGGGGGGGGGGGGGGTGCAGGAGGATTTGTTTGGTATTGAATTAATTAGTAGTGTTCATTTTTATCTGTTGCTTCGCATGTTCATTACTTTTTTCCTTCGTGTTGCATAATATTCATTTTCAATCCATTCTTTGTCAAAATTATTATTGTATTCAGTTCTTTCTAGGCCATGTTATTCATTTTCAAGATCCTCCTCCTCCTGTCACACACCCCAAAAGAATCGTAATTATGGTTATCCTCTTATATAAACGAATAAAGACTTCTTTGATTATATAAATTGTTTATCAATTTCATAAATTTTCAACAAAAGTTCCTTGAAGTTCAAGTTATTCTCTGGATAAAGACACAAATAAAAACCCAGGTAATATACTTTTTTGATAGTTGATTCGAGCAAAGAATATACCATTTGTTCCCGCAAACGTAATACCTGTCTAAATTCAAATTCGCGCAAACGTAGTAGCCCGTCTGACCGTATATTCGACATAGGTAAACGTAAAAAATTGTCACAGAAAAAAGTCACAACTGTGTTAGGAAAAAGGAACAAATTTGATTAATGTAGGGAAAAAGTCACAAATCTGATACAAAAAAAAACGGGGAAAAATGTTTTTTTTTTTTTTTTTTTTTTTTTGTAATGTAGTCAAAACGATTTATATGTAAAATTGTAAATTCTATGTCTCTGTAATAAAGCAAAACGTCACAGGACAATTATTTGAAATAAACTGACAATTTGTGTCATATATACGTTGATATGTTTGGACAGCGTAACAAAATTTTTCAACATAGTAAATGAGCAGAAAATTAAAAAAAAAAAATTGCATTTTATCATAAGTTTTAAGAATCTTATGCTTTTTATACTTTATATAGTTGTAATTAAACCCCTTTTGTTTCTCTGTATGAACTAATAAAGTGAGAAAAGAGGGATGTACTATTTCAATGTTTGTGATAGATTGATTGGTTGATTGGTGTTTAATGCCACTTTCAACACTATTGTGCTATTTCGTGGCGTTCAGTTTTTATTGGGGAGGAAGCCAGAGTGCCCGGAGAGAACCTGACAATCCTAGTCAATTAAGATTAATTAAGATTGGAGTCGAGTGCACCTGTCCCGTGCGGGATTCGAACTCACAACATCAGTATTGGACTACTTAGACCACTCGGCCACCGAGGCCCCTTCCAATGATTGTGTTTATTGCAATTAAAAAAACTTTCCCAGCTTATAAACGGTTATTACTTAAAATTGAGAATGGAAATGGGGAATGTGTCAAAGAGACAACAACCCGACCATAGAACAGACAACAGCAGAAGGTCACCAACAGGTCTTCAATGCAGCGAGAAATTCCCGCACCCGGAGGCGTCCTTCAGCTGGCCCATAAACAAATATATATACTAGTTCAGTGATAATGAACGCCATACTAAACTCCAAATTGTACACAAGAAACTAAAATTAAAAATAATACAAGACTAACAAAGGCTAGAGGCTCCTGACTTGTGACAGGCGCAAAAATGCGGCGGGGTTAAACATGATGCATGTTACAACCAGAAATTTATGAAAAAGCAAATAGGAATTTTCCACTTTCTTAGTTTCCCAAAAATATTATGAAGAAAAAAAAAAACTCGACTCGAGGTTTTGGATTTTCTCTTCTCATCAATAACTATAGAATAACTAATCGAAAAATTCAAATAGAGAGAAAAATATTCAACGAGTGACCGAACAACACATTAATTCACGAATGCGCGTAGCGCATGAGTTAATTATCAGTGTTGTTTGGTCACGAGTTGAATATTTTTCGATATTTTAATTCTTTGATTAGTTATTCTTTTTATTACATTGGCAAATGGCTTTTTTATGAAATTAAAGTAGAAACTGTAAGGAACTATATCTTTTTCTACGCATTCACAATTTGTTTTGATCCGACGTTATCGACGTCTTGACAACGCCTATTGTTGTATGACGTCAGAGAGTGAAATAACTACGTTTATTTCACATGTGAAATTATCGGTTTTTATTTGACTGGGAAATCAATGTAATTCATTGCTACCAATGTAATAATAGTTATAATCTAAAGTTATCAATTCACACAGTTTGAAAATATTACTTGTAAGTATAATGTTTTAATTTTTGAGGCCGTATGATTGCCTAAGATTATTTACATGTACAGCATTTGCACTTTAAGTGATGGTTGTCTAATTGGCAATCATATTACATCTCTTTATCTTAATATAGAAACATTTAAAAAGGTCGATCAATTACAAACTAAAAATTCCTGTCCCGCCGAGAACTTATTCATATATTTGCTTTTTTCTATAAATACCGTAGAAACAGATGAAGGACTCGAAACGAAAGAAAACCAAAAAAGGGAATAAAAAGTGAGTGATAAGTTTTTCTACTCCCCTATCATATACAACTTGTAGAACATTATTGTCGTAAGATGTTGCTTCAAATATACTGTCACCAACCCAAAAACAAAAATTAAGTGTCGCTATCACCAGAAAAATACTGTGTGTCATCATCAAAAACTTATTTCCTTTAACACACCTCGCTTTTTCATAATTATCAAATTGTAAGATGCATATAACCTGCAAATAAAGTTGATAAATTTTTATTCCCCATTTTACCATTAAAAGATATGCATCTTTATTTACCGTATTAAGTCCGTTTTTGCCAAAAACTTCCAGCAACAGAACACATGACAAAAGTTCAAAAGACACATAAGCAATAGATCCCAAGAAACTGATAATTAGTATATTTTGGTGAAAGTGAAATATTTCAACGGAACGCGTGGCTTTAAAATAAGAACCCCACGATAAAGCATGAAAGCAGAAAGTGAGAAGTACAATCAAAATCACGGTTATAACTATATCATAGGAGAAACCTAACAGCTCGGCCAAGGACGATTTTGAGTAAATAGGAATATCCGAATCGCTAATATTCGCTTTAGATATGTTTTCGGATTTTGAGAGAAATCCAAATACAAAATTTGGGGCACAGATAAGAATGCCAGTCACAACACATATAACTGAATAAGAGGAAAATGAATTAAAAGATTTTTCAGGAATAAGTAGTTCAATGTCGTTCGAATTTTCTCCATTGGTTATTGATTGCGTTGGAGCCTGGCTTGTGTCATCCCCAGTCGAAGTTGAACATGATACAATGGACCGACTCTCTTGTATAGTTATTAGTTCATTATTTGAACTTTGATTTTGTGCAGGTGCAGGCCATAATTCTGCTAAAAACATCATACTTAGCAGTGAATATTCTAGTTCTATAAGATGACAATATGGTTTAACTGCTTCAAACACGGTTGCTGCATAGCACTTATTGTCGATACTAGTTTTGTTGTATGCAAAACACGGTGTTGCGGCTCCGCCTTCCATTACGTAAACATCAACAAAAAATTGAGTCCACTGCGAAATGTTAGCCAGGAATATCAACAAAAGACTGTAATAAATTTTCCATGAAACACAGAAATTATAATTTATAAATCTATGAACAAACGTCGACTGAACTATGCAGAATAAAATCTGTACAATTTTGTACATGACGATTACACTCTCATACTCTGGCGACGATACAGTAGAGTTTTTGCACCCGATTTGATGTGAAGTGGTAACCTTTGGATGACAAGTTATAGCCTTTATGATCTTGACTGCCGAATAGAAAACAGTGATGCCAGTAAAAATCCACAAAAACGATAGTTTAATCCTTAGAAAAAATCGATCTTGTGTGTGAGCATTCGCTATGCTATTCCTAAGTCGATGAACAATCATGAAAACGATGCAAGTTACGGCTGCTATGAGAAAGCAAATGCTCAAATATACTTGCTTAGAACCAACTGAAGAACCGGTGAACGTTTTGTCAGTAGGATGCTCAAAAGATGCGATCCCAAAAAGAACAACAAATGTTACAACTAGAATACTAGTTAGGATGATGATACCGCTTATACTTCCATCGTGAACTTTTTTCTTCTGTTCTGATTGTCTGTTTTCCGATTCTGACTGGGGCAGTCGTCCAGCTGTAAAGGGAATGATAAATACAGCATCAGCTATTTCTTTGCAACAATTGAGTCCCATTTCTTCAATGAATATATCGCAAAATCGTAGTTTTGCCTTCCTTCCTAACCTTTATGCATCAAAGCAGAATTTCACCTGCTTATTCCTCTCTTAATTAAATAGTTCGAGGAATGATCTTGTTACTTAGACTTTTAATGACTTAACACTACATACATCTGTCTGGGTCGTGGCACCTGAAAAATTATAAAATCAATATTATGTCATCAATTTATTTTATATATTATAGGTAGATAAACCTTAACATTTCGAATAATTCAACATTTAATAAACAGTTAATTTACAATAAATGAAAAAATTAATGATATTCGAAGTAATTATCTGACGATACGAATGTATTACTCAGTAATAAGGATGACATAGATTCCAAAACGAACTAAAAAGAAAATTTTGGATCATTTTATGGGTTAATTTTAAATAAAAATAAAATAGAGGGTATATAGATAAAAACAACTAAAAACATTTAGAATAAGGTAACCGGCATTAATCGGACAACTACACCAGTTAAAGCATTGGAATATATTTTGGTGATAAAAGAGAAGAAATTGAAAAATAAAAATGGAAGAAAAAAATTGAGAAGATGAATCAATTATGTCATTTTGTGAGGGAAACGTAATTTAACTTAATTGGGGAATATTCTTATTATTCAAACATAAGTTTAACCACTGTTATTATTTGTGACAAGTGCTTTTACAGTTCCTGGGAAATATAGAGAGTAAATGCTATAGATAAATCTGGAATGGTAAACCAAATAAGGTTAAAAGAAATACTATGTTTAAATCGTATGAAGCAGGGGGATTACAAATGATTTATACACAAAGTTATATGATATTTCTGGTATGTTGGGTATGTTTACTGATTAATAAGGGTATTTCAAACTGGAAGTTTATTGCCTTAAAATACTTCAATGTGGTGGGTATAAATCGGTTATTTTTTAAGATGAATTATGAAGGGATGAATATTCAAAACTATATCAAAACCAGCCCTGAGTATTACAAAGAATTATTTAAATGTTGAGTAATATCATGTAGAGGTCAGAAAAAAGCAGAACTAAGAAAACATGTAATTGGGAAAACAAACTGATCAATTTTGAAAATAGAACCATTATTTTTTAACATTTGATGAAGAGTAACTTGATATTTATTCATGATATTACAGATAACAGAGGCGCTTTATCTTGGCATTTTATTTTACAGACAATAGCCTGTCAGATCAATTGCAAAGCAGAAATTGATATTTTGATCAACTCCATTTCGAAAGATTGGCTTCAATTGTTCAAGTCCAAAAACTGAATGAGAAGTATTGTAAATATTCCTGGACATTTTGTTTGGAAAGGTAATTACATTGAGGCTTCAAATTTTCAACTAACATATTGTACAAATCAGTTTGTAAAGAACTGAACCCTCAATTGATGTTAGTAAACGGATACGTATTTTAACAATTAATGAAAACTTTAGAATTAATCACTTGTGATTCTTCATGTTTCTTTATGTAGAGGAGAATAAGCTAAAAACATATAGATGAAAACTCATATTACCTACAAAACACTTATTATCAAAATGGAACAGACGAACGATGGTCTATGTAATGTTTGTGACGAAGTAGATTATCCTTTTGTTTTGTTATTTCTGGAAGAGTATTTATAAGTAAAGGAGAAAATTAAATTTACCTTTTAGCATACCGTTTAAGCAATTAATGTTAGGATATATGTGTTTTGATCTGAATTATATCCGAACACTTGTAGCTTTTTTCTTTATACAAATCATATTAGTAGCCTAAGCAGATATGGAAAAGATTTAATGTTTATCAAAGCTTTGTTCACGAATATATTTAAAAATATCACGAAAACAAAGAAATAAATCAAATCCGTTACTTGAGTCACTGAAAAGAAGTATCTAAAATTGAATAGACTATTAAATAATGCATAAAACATTTGTAATTGATGAAATGTATATATATGAACAACTGATTACTAACCTGTTTAATTAGTGGAGGATTACGGGATACATATAGAGGAGCATGGACTCTTAATATAGCTATGTAACGATCATGTTTCGTGAATGAAATATCATTGTTTGAGAGAATATGATATGCATGTCAATACAGATGTGCAGCCTACTGGGCTTGCAATACCCTCCGGGACGAAACGTAGACCAGCAGTATCATCGAATCGGTGGTTTTAAAAACCAATTAATAATACCAGCATTATAGTCATGTACGCCAGACGCACGTTTAGTCTTCATCAGAGTCATCAGTGACACTAAAATCAAAACAGAGTGAAGACCGAATCAAAAACAAAGTTGAAGGGAGTTGGAAAGCGAAATTTCAAAACGTGCGAAATACGGCTATGGTAATCTATGTTAACACACCTTAGTGTTTTTAATAATTCATGTTTTATAACAGTAAATTTACAGAAAATAATAAAATCATTAGTTTACTCATTTTAACAGAAAAGTGCTTACTACTGGGCTGGTGATACTTTCGAGACGAAACATCCACCACAATTGGCATTGACCACGGGTTGTAAAAACTCATTAAAGATGCCAGGCTTATATTTTTGGACCACTGACGGTTGTTTCTTCTACAAAAGACAGACCAGTATAATAAGAAAGAAAACAGTTGAAAGGCCAAATCAAATACGAAGTTGAAGAGCATCAAAATATGGCTGATGCAATCTGTGCCTTGTGATACAAAAAACGAAGTATTTCGAATAATTCAATATTTTATCAGCATCAAATTTACAAAAAAATAACAAATCAATGATATTTCAGGTCAACATAAAATTGATGACTACTGGTTGACTACTGTATTTGTGACACCTTCGGAGACGAAACCTCTACCAGCTGTGGCATTTACCTGGTGGTTGTAAAAACGTATCAAAGATAGCAGGCTTATAATTCAGTACGCCAGACGGGATGGAAATATAGATCTAGATAAGATTCAAACAGAAAAGTAATATTCATGATTCATTGACACTAATTAATGTACATGAGTACGCTTACTGTACTTAAATCGTTATGGCATACCTGTATATGTGTTACAGACGATTGCTCGAATGATTATGCGACATTAAATGTTGTGCCAATCTTGTTTTTTTTTTTTTTTTATTTCATAGCCCAAAATCAACAAAAAACAAGTATTGTGCTTTTCAACTTAACATCTAAATGCAAAGGAGACTAAATGAATAGTTGTGAACTTTAGTTATAAATCAAAGGTACACAAATGACTTTCATTAAGTAACTACTGCGTGCGTCTTGACGAATGATGTCATCTTTCCACCACTTTTTGTCGTTTTACAAGTTTTAACACCATTCAATAAAAACGAATGGAAATGCAAACCCTCCCAGCAGTAGATAAACTTGTTATTGTCAGGTATTAGTTTTAGCTTTTGATATTTGAGGATCATCTTTAGTCACACAAATTATTTTCGTATTATTTCTTAGGGTAATCACGCAAATCCTCGTAGACGTTTGAAAAAATGCAATCGATCTCGTTTATAATTTCTGACCTAGTTAGAGTTAAATAAGTGTGTGAAACATGGGAAGAAAAAATTATTTTTATATAGTGCATCTGCTGTACGCTCTACTGAATAATTTACATGCCTCTATTTTTATGCAACCTGTAGGTGTCGATTCTGTCTTGCAATTCACAGTATATTCTGAAACTTCATCCAGAACTAGATAGCTAATAACATTGTGTTGTATTCAATTTCTTATAGTTCAATAATCTACATACCAACATTTGCCTTTAATATTTTCAACTTAACTGTAAGATAAACTAAGATAAAAATGCACTGTGTTGCTATCATTTGTACTTTTGTTTAATTAAGGAATGACTGCAATATTTTTTTCTCTCTTTGAAGTAATAACATAAAAAATGTGGTGTATTTAAGCAGCTTATTTAAAGTGTGCACCGCATTCTTGAGGTTATTTCGAATAGACAGAAAAGTATTACAGTCATTTCTTATAATTTAGTTCAAAATTTCATTTTAAGGAGTAAATCATGAAAAAACGTTGATGACGTCACAGTCACATGACTAAATGATGTCTATGAACTAATAGACAAAAAGCTTTCAGCCAATCAGAAGACGTATTACATCCAAATTTAAATCATTATTAGATACAAAATAGAACAACCAATGCTTTAGTGCATTTTGTTTTCTGATTTTTATTTTATTTTTTAACGTACTTTCGGTATATCCACTTATCGAGATTTGTTGCCTATTTATACGTGTATCCCGTGTCAGAAACATCGCCAGTGGTATCTTATATATTATGTTTTTTTGCAATTTCATTGATTTTGTGTTGGTTGCATATCTTTGATAGTTTGTTTTTAAATGATGCCCGACATTTTATATATATCAGGGTGATTTTAAACTTGGCACCTGCAATCTGTCTATTGTTGACAACTTTATGTAGACATTGTGATATTTGTACCTTTGGGTTGCTTTCGCATAAACAACCAACTAACCCATCTGCTCGCTACTCAATATATCGAATACTAGTAAGTGTTTTACCCTGCCTACGCACCAATTACATAATACATTTTAAAGTCTAGTATCGTCTTTAAGCTCCTCAAGTAATCAAATATATACATCAGCGACTTTTAACTGTTTGGTTTTCAGTGTTACAGAAGAAGGTAAATACATATGGACCAACCAAATTTACAAAGCTCACTGTTATTGTTTAGTATTTGGTGAATACCGCTGCTGCTATCAGGGTATCAGCAAACAAGTATTTCCTTAGTGATTTATATGAATTATAACATATTCTATAGTTTTCTTTTGATCAATTAATAAATTATCAAATAATTAAGGTTGTAACTCCTTTGTAAAGCCAACTTAACTTGAAATGGTTTTGTCTATTCTTTTATGTCAATATTGGCATTTTCGTCCTCAAAATTATATGGTTCCAGCGATCATATTATTGGTTTTGGTAAATCAGATGAAGGTAAGTCTAGTAGTAAAATGCTATTTCTGTTTCTATGGGTCGAAACCGCTACTTTTGGATTACTAATCCCAAAAGGTATCATCAGCTCAGTAACCAATGCCGAATATGGATATGATTTATAACGTACGTTTTAAAAAGTCTTCGTTCATAAATTTGTAAGAAACATAAAAAAGACAGAACACATTCAAAACTCATAAGTCGTGGAGAAATTGACAGCGCAATGTCCAACAAACGAAACAGGACGAAAAGACAAACAAGCTCACAAAACACTACGTAAGAAACTGAAGACTGATCAAATCGAACCCTATAAAAAACTGGGGGTTATCTCAGGTTCTGAGGTTTCAAGTCCCTCAGACAGTTAATATTACAGTGGGATCTACCTTTGCACCTCGTCTTGTTGACTAGATCTATTTTTCGTATGATGCAAGTTTATTTACAGAAGCTTCTCAAAAAGAACAGACAGAAATTAGCATTATCGTTTTAATTTTCGTTTCGATTTATAAAAAATGATTTTCTGTCATTTACTTTGAAATAATATAGGATACCACATTTAAAGTTTAGTCTATTTAATATTTGACTTTCAAAGACAACCGATAAAAAATTAATTTTACAGCAAGAAGTTGATTTTCAATTTCCGATGTGTCATCCTTATATTTTCCTATAGCAACAATTTATTAGTGCTTGTGTATAGAGTAAGTATATCCCAGCTGATAGAGCATTTGTTTCTGATCTTGATGTTCTTGTTAAAGGATTTCCATTTGAAAGACATTGGACACAATATTCATAAGGATAAAGTGATTGATCCCTTTGCAAATATTACACACACTGTCATGGTTTGATTAACCGTATATAATATCTGTGTCAAATATGACCCCCGATAAAATAAAGATAAGAAGATGTGATCTGATTCCAAATGAGACAACTTCACTAGAGACCAAATGACGTAGAAGTTATCAACTATAGGTCACCTGGATAAGTTTATTTGTTGTAGTCAGAACCCTAATCCCTTTTCCTCGATTGTAACATCACGAAATGCGACAAATACATGAATGAGTTCTTGATATGAGCATCAAAACAAGTTGTTCAATCTTCATTTTTTTGTGTCGTTTATCTCTAAGGGCCTCAATGAAAAAGTTATCTAAGTAGTTCATACAGTATCACTAGCCTGTCAACATTGAGCTTTTTAGTTCGAATTCTGTACGGGGCAGGTGCGTTCGACTCAGATTGTAATTAACAATCATTATTTTTTTCTTCTGAATGTTGTGGTTCACCCAGGGGACTCCAGATTTCTGAACCAGTAGTAAACTGGCAGCCTCGATATAAGCAAGAGTGCTGGAAGTGGTTTTAATACCAATGATCAATCAATCAATCAATCAAAAGTGTATGTCCTCGTCCTTTGTGGTCACGTTTAAGTAGATACATCAAAAAAGCATATACAGAACAGATAAAACGATTTATGATGTCAGGATTTGAAATCCTTTTATGGAAGCTTATTTTTTTTCTTTGGTTGAAATTGATTTATTTGTCAATACTTATTTTGTGTAAAGGTTTTGATTCGACCTTAATCATCATTCTACAATAATCTTAAGAAAAGTGGTATTTGTTACATTTTAAATCTTAAACTTCTATTAGGAAAACACGGGATTAACGCATGAGAATAATTGAATCCAAGAGGAAACAAAAAAATCATTATAGATACCAGGCTTAACCACATTTAATGTCAACTTGGCTCCAAAGTTTAAACTTTCTAATAGGACAATGATTCTTACATGTAATTATAAACCATAGCAATATGATGTTAAAGTTGTATTGATATACTAACTTACCACAGCATTGTTGGAAAATAAATATCCCGTAATTGCTGTTAGCAACTAATAATGATGACTACGCGGGTTGACTATAATGATTCTTCCTGAAAGTTATAACCATAAAATCCCAAATAAACAAAAATAGAACATATGCAATCAAAAGAATTTATAAAAAAAAATGTGCTCATCATGTCATAAGACTTTTTGTCACATGTATCGTCATTAAAAGATTAAAAAAACAAACACTGTCAGTATCAAATTATCTACATTCACATGATTCACGGTTGACTAAATTTCAATAAATACATAAGGAAGTTAAGCATGTAAAAACATTTTTTCTCCTTCTTTTTTGAAGGTTAACATATATGAATCACTTTTTAGTTTAAAAACATTGTTTCTTGAATTATACATTATTAATTATTAAATACCTCAAAAACACTATATAGCAGGGTTGGAAAACAGTCTGCGAAGCTTTTACAATACGATCTTGTTGTCTGTTGTTCTGAATCTATACATTTTGTGTGTTTTGTCTTTTATCGACGTATATTTTTCATTGACAGTATGAACAGTATGACTGAGTGTGAATTTGCATGACGGATGGCACATGCATCACAGGAGATGCTTATCCTGCCGACGCACCCTATCTTTCTTTTCTAAGTTCAAGCAATACTCGAACTTTTTGTTTGTTATCTTATTTAATGTTGTCATCTTGATTGATTGATGAGACTTGAACATCGGAAAACTATTGTTGTATAAATTTAGTATGAAAGACGTGTAATTGTCTCTATAAAAATATAAAAATGAAGAGATATAGTATTATTGGCAACGACGCATGAATGAGACAACTATCAGTCAGAGTTCCACTGAGTGTTTATAAGCAGGTATAGTTTGCCGTTCGACCTTCAACAATGAAAAAAGACCAATACCGTAGAGTCGGCTATAAAAGCTCCAAAAACATGAACAAATATAAAACATTTCAAACGAGAAAACTAAAGACAGGTATCGCAGACATGAACCAATGATACATTGAAATACAAGCTCCTAACTAGGGACATGCATAAAACGAATGTGGCGGTTCAATGTCCAGCATGGTTTAGTTAAACTTTTGTCCTGAAAACCTGTTTTCATATCACAAATCTCTCACAATTTGTTCATTTTCAAGAGTTCGAGAATGTAAATGAAGCGAGGGTTTATTAATCATTTTTATAATATACCTATCCGTTATTAACATATCATTTACCATAACGTGCGAATATTTGATGGACATAGTGGTATAAAAATGTTAGCAATCATAGAACACCTGCGTTTAATTCCAATTATACGGGTTCGCCTGTCAACATTTCTAACTGATTGGGTAGATTTCGATAAACTTCTGAATATTGATCGTCTTTTGAATTTAAGCTATTGTATCAGTTGTTTTATCTGTCATTTCTGACTAATATCTTTTCCGACTAATGATTACAATTTTCCTTTGATACTTGTACGCTAACATAATAGAGAGCAACGACAGGTGTAAGTAAAAAGGCATTTAAATAAACTTCATCTGTTTTAAATATATCTCACAAGAGAACTAAAAATCGAATGTGAGACGAATAATCGTTTGTTAATGAAAAATATCATGTAATTAAGTTTTTAAATCGCAACAATTTTGTTATTGCTATTAAATCTTGTCCATCTTTTTATTAAGGGGGTAGATATGCAGTGAAAGAGTGAAATCACAAGTGCATTTTTCACAGTATGTTATTCATACAAGGATTATGCATCTTTTTACAAATATTCCATATTTTCGATTTGGTGAGAGGGGAACTAATATCTGAGCATTTTATTTTTTTACTATACGAAACATTATATGAAAGTACCCAAATTTGTTGTTGGATACAGGTTCAATAAAAAAGCAAACTTCACATCAGATACATGTATTTATATAAATTCTTATAGAAGTATAAAGTTCCCGAAGAGATTGGCAGATTTTGGGCAGTATACAGTGACCCTGAAAATATTTCAACCATATGTCGGCGATTAATAAAAAATATATGTTTCCATACCGGTCCTAAATATATGTTTCCATGTGTCGTTTCTCTCTGAGAACCTCGGTGAACAAGTGATTTAAGTAGTTCATATAGTATCAATAGCCTGTCAACATTGAGATTGTGAGTTCAAACTCTGGACGTGGCAGGTGCGTTCGACTCAGATCGTAATTTACTAGCATTTTCAGTTTTTTTCTTCTGAATGTCGGTAGTTCCTCTAGGGGACTCCGGCTTTCGCAACCAGTAGCAAACTGGCCGCCACATTATAAGCAAGAGTGCTGTAGGTGGTCTAAACACCAATTATCAGTCAATCAAAAAGTGTATCTCTTCCTCCTTTGTGGTCACGTTTTAGTAGATACATCCAAAAGGGCATACACAGAACAGTCAAACGATCTATGATGTAAGGATTTGTAATTCTTGTTTGGAACCTTAATTTTTGCCTTTGGTTGAAGTTGATTTATTTGTCAATACTTATTTTGTATAAAGTTTTTGATTCGACCTTAATTATCATTGTACAATAATCTGAAAAAAACGTTGGTATTTGTTATACTTTAAATCTTAAACTCTTATTCTATATGGCAAACAAGGGATTAACGCATGAGAATAATTGAATTCAAGAGGCAAAAACCTCATTATAGATACCAGGCTTAACCACATTTAATGTCAACTTGGCCTTCGAAGTTTAAAATTTCTAATAAGAAAAAGATTCGTAAATGTAAATATAAATCAACCATAGCAATATGGTGTTAAAGTTGTATTGATAAATTAACTGACCACAGCATTGTTGGAAAATAAATATCCCGTAATTGCTGTTAGAAACTAATACAGATGACTACGGTTGACTATAATGACTCTACGTGAATGTTCATACAGAGTGTTTCGAATTTTATAACCATAAAATCCCAAATAAACAAAAATAGAACATTTGCAATTAAAAAGAATTTATAAAAAAAATGTACTCATTATGTCATAATCCTTTTTATCACATGCATCGTCATTAAAAGATTAAATGACAAAAGCTATGGGTTCATATTGTATAATAAAAAAGCAAAATGAGGATGTTAAATTTGATGTATGCCTTTTTTGTGCTTCTTTGTTAAATTTGTTTGTTTTTATATTGATTAAGATGATAACACAATGTTGACTGCTGTACACCTATTTTTGACATGTTTACCTATTGTGTCTGTTTGTTTTGTTCACGCATCGTTGTCAATATAATGGAATTTGATGTGACTGTCATACAAGTGAGAGATTTAGCTAGCTATACAACCAGGTTCAATCCACCATTTTCTACATAAGAAAATTCCCATTTTGTGATTTTACTTTTTTTAGTATTTTATTATCCACATTCAATAAATTGCAAAAATAATTAATAAATACATAAGGAAGTTAAACATGTACAAACATTTTTTTTCTCTTTCTTTTTTGAAGGTTAACATATATCAATCACTTTTTAGTTTTAAAAACATTGTTTCATAAATTATACATTATTAATTATTGAATATTACAAAAACACTATATAGCAGGCTTTTAAAACATCTGCGAAGCTTTTACAAAACGATCATTATGTCTGTTGTTATGAATCTATAAACTTTGTGTATTTTGTCTGTTATAGACGTATATTTTTCATTGTTCTCTTGTAAGACTGAGTGTGAATTTGCATGACGAGTGGTACATACGTAGAAGGAGATGCTTATCCTGCTGACGCACCTTATCTTGTTTTTTTAAGTTCAAGCAATACTCTATCTTTTTGTTTGTTATCCTAATTTTTCATCTTGAATTGATGAGTCTTGAACATTGGAAAACTATTGTTGTCTAAATTTAGTATGAAAGACGTGTAATTGTTTCTATAAAAATATAAATGAAGAGATGTAGTATCATTGGCAATGACACATGAATGATACGACTATCCACCAGAGTTCCAATAAGTTTTTATAAGCAGTTATAAGTCACCGTTCGGCCTTCGACAATGAGAAAAGACCAATACCGTAGATTCGGCTATTAAAGGTCCAAAAACATAAACAAATATAAAACATTAAACTTCAAGCACTATATCATTCTGGTTGCATTACAACATATTTGCTAAAAACGAAAAAAAAAATAAAATCTGAACCACTGGAAGCAGAAATCACGGATCACGATACTGCTTTTACTAGTTTTATATTGGCTTTTTACAATGATTAAATGGTGAAAAAGAAAGCATTCCTCATGACAACGTTACTTGATAAATATAGATCTTTCCTTCCTACTGATTCTAAGTTAAAATATTCTACTTGGAAGCTGTAGTCTAAACTCATTGATTTCTATAGAAATTCAGTTGTCAAACAACCACAATAAGGTCAAGGCAAATCTAACATAATATTCAGTAGCAACATAACTATTGGGGATGCCATATCAGCTGCTAGTCAATCAAAAGCTGATCTCAAAATCCCTGAGATGCAGGCATCAATGTCAACAATAATAGACACAAATAAGGAACAGATATTGCATTCCGCTGCAAGTATACTAAGAAAAGACATCGAAATTCTACAGATTTCCACAGAAGAATACCCAACTTCTGATGAATTGCCTCTTCCTTCTTCAATTCAGTCTTTGCCTTCGTCTTTATTGCAATTCATTTCATGGTTACTGGATAATACTGCATACAGCCAAGTTTATTCTCAGGAAATGGCACCAGAGAAATTGCGTTAATGCTTGGCAATTGTTGAGTCAATTGTTTCTGCATGTTCTGTTGCCAAAACCAGTTTTACTCCGTTTCATTTAGGATTGACTTTACAAATGTATCATGAGCTTGATCAAAACACCTTGTTGAAACATTGAATGCCAATGGATTTTGTGCTTCGTACAGTGAAGTGCGACGCTATCTAACAAGTATTGCCAACCATGAAATTGATCGAATTCAAGATGGTGTGTACGTCCCGTATAATGTTTCCCAGGTTGCCAATGATGGGGGTCTTGTTCAAGAAGGTGCTGATAGCATTGATTTGAATACGTAAACAATAGATGGAAAAAACACCTTTCATTCAATGGCACGGGCAGTTTTTCAATTCAGTAATGCAAAATAATCTTATATTGAACAGGTTAAGATAA